TAGACGTAGCATTAGGCACTTGAACGATATATAGCATATTTAACGTGGCTAGTTTGGTCATTTTCAGGCACCCGTGGTTTCACGGAGCTTTCACTGTCAAACCAAGCTTGCTTGTAGTCACATACCTCATTCGCCAAGATAACGACGACATCAGGGACTGAGATTAAAAAGAAAAAAACGCAGATGATTGGAGAGGCCGATATCGCATATATTTAGATGAAGCCGTAAGAAGGCTAAACCCATGATAAAGTAGAATATATTCAGCAGTGAATATGTCGACAAAAATACCCGCTGCATTAAAATTTTGAAATGACTCATCCTCCAAAACGCGAGCCAACTCATCCCATATTAAAAGATTAATTCTTTTTGTACAGCTTGAGATTCTTGCCATCACAGTGACGGTATCAAACATCCCTAACCAAGAACGTAATAGCAATACCAATCCCAAGCTTTCAAGTTAATTAGCAGCCGCAACCAGTGCAGACCTAGCACGTGTGAAAGAAGCAATAACCGATCCCAGCTGCAGCTTATCATTGCACCCAAAACTCAATCTGTACCTGCATGAACAGACATCTCCATTATCATAAGCGATCATCTCAGGCATATAAATAATCGATGGCCAATATAAATTAATCCTGGAAAATGCAAGGGAGCGACTAAAGTATCACAATACGCGTGGCTCAGATATGAGTAACCTTTCTTTCAAGTGTTGCCATCTATTTGTCAAATTAGGGGAAAGGAAGATAGTACGCAGAAAAATAGGACATGAATACATACTCTATGTCAGCCAAATCATTCACCAGCTGCACTCGAACGCTTGGGGGCATCTTAATCTTAAAAACGAACCTGTGATAACGATACAGAGAAATCAAGATCATAAAAAGAAATGTCAAGAAGTTAAACAGTTGGCATGATGCATAAGGCTTACGTTGTGACCTCTCTCACAATATCCACCAGCGCCAATCCTTTTCTTGTCTTGATTTCATATATTCCTATAGGAAGTTATGCAAACAAAATATAAGTAAATTGCTTAGTGACATTAAATGAAAAAAAAAATGACATCAAAAGAAGTAATAAATCAACTTAATACTTTTAAAACTATCTGCAAATTGTTCATTCAGAAGCCAATAAGAGATTTGCTCAATGTCTTTGGGTAATGGGTTTCCAGTACAAAGATAAACAGCTTCTTCTGTTATCTGCTGAGAAGCCATATGCGTTGACTGCAAACATGAAGCGACAAAATGCGTCATCAAGGATCCATTGGTACAAATAATCCAGAACATACCCTTTGATAACATCATTTCCACAGTAGCAAGTTGATAGGAGTCCTAGGCATTTGGATAGACATTTGGATGCCTTAAATTGTCATGTTGCTATGTTTTCAAATCCATGTCCCTATCAACTTTGGTGCTTATTCAATCATATTCAGTTTTCCTCCATTTCCTATATACACTCCAAAGTCCAAATACAGCATGTTCTATAGAAGTATGCCTAAATATCAAAAACGGAGAAATAGCCTACTAGGTTTGAGGTTGAGGATATTCAAGAATTTGGTGTAGATTGCTGAAATACTCCCAGATAAAATTTGATCAAATATAACAGCTGTAGTTACTTCTTAAATCCAACCTGCAAAATGTTCAAAGCCTTTCTCATATCTCCATTACAGAGCCGAACAAGTGCTGCTAAACCGCTTTCTGTAACATCAAGCCTAGTAAAATTACATAACAGAAATCATCATATTGGAAGTTACTTCAATCATGTGCGGACAAGTAGTAATCACATCAAATGAAATGGCAGTAGCAGCGTCTGCTATGCTATGATGATGAAAGTACGAAAGTACATTTTCCCATACTATTCCACCCATTGCCCTAACCTCCAAGATACTTATCAAAGAAGAAACAGTATTTGTTGAAAAAGTTCCCCCAGAATGAACTGGCAGCCCAGAAGAGCAGTGAGTTTCCTTCCTCATGAGAGCTTTAGGACAGCTGTATACCAATATGCATATATGGTAACGGAGATGATGATACTTACCCTTCAGCCTTAACAATATGCTTCAATCTCTCAGTAATATGGACAGCATCGAGAGGGGCAAACCGAAATCGAGTGCATCTTGATTGCAGTGCTGGAATAATCTTGTTTACATGATTACAGATGAGTGCAAACCTAGTATTTTTTGTATATTTCTCAATCACTGCAACAAACGATGAAGGGTATTATAACACAACAAAATGGCTTTAGCTCTGCAATACAGACAGTAGCTATACCTCTACGCAATGCAAACTGTGCATCCTTTGTCATTGCATCTGCCTCATCTAACAAGACCAACTTTACAGAGGACTTGACTCTGTAAAACAAGGACCATTCGTTCATCAGCTAAGACCAAAAACTGGCAATTTCAGCATCATAGTCATGCCATGACATGTAGTTTTCACAATCAAATGTGCAAAAGAAGACACAGAAAAACAATTCACGCCTCATATAACACAAAATATTCCACATGATGGCAGCTGATTATATATATTTACACTGTGAATCAGGGCATTTACCACACTACAAAGGAATTATTTCTACTCCAAACACAAAATAGTAAATCAAAACCATACAGAACAGTATTTAAGCAAGAAGTAGGATGCAGATAATGAAAACAACCCAAATGAGAAGCTCTGGGTGCTAGCAAAATCTTGTATCTGTTGGCGTACGATATCAATTCCCCTGTCATCTGATGCATTGAGCTCCAAAATCATGTTTTGGTATTGTGCCCCATATAGTTTGCGGGCCACAGCAAGAATAGTTGATGTTTTGCCCGTGCCTGGAGGGCCGTACAATAGAAGATGGGGTAATCTGTTCTCAGAAGTCAGCCTATCAACTATTGAACAACAAACAAATAATGAGTAAAAAACAATGAGTCAGTAACTAGAACTAATGAAGTCATGATGAGAGTAAGAATCTTATGATAGATATGGACTCGAAGCAGACAATGATAATAGCAGCATATTACAAATCCTCTTTCTTTCCGAGCAAAAAGACACAAAGGAAAACACCAGAATCACTCCTACAAAAATTATACAGTAACATAACACGCGATTAGGTAATTACACTCTAGTCCCTTCCTCCCTTCCCATGTGGTAGCAACCCAAGATATCCAAACAAAAATTCCAATGAGGATTTAAATATATGTTTCATGGTGATAATTATGCAATACGAGCAAAACCCTAGAAACAAAATGGACGGGACAAATTTTTCTCAGATTAGGAAATCTAATCCCATAAATCATAAAAAATTATGGATTGGGCCGGTTAAGGAAGAAATTTTCTTTGAGATTGTTTCGGCCAGAAACAGAAAAAGACAATAAATTTCACAACCAGTATCATAAACCCTAGAGCTTAAAGGAGAACGGAAAGGAGGCGTTGAGTCGTACTGGTATCGACAATGTCGCGATGTGCGGCAACGTCGTCGAGGCATTTAGGGCGGTACTTTTCAACCCACGGAGTATCCTTGCTGGCGGGTGGATTGCCGGCAACGACCACGCTTTTGCCCTTGTTGGGTATGGCAGAGAAGTTGTTATCATCGTCGTCAATGAGCATGGGAGAGGTTGTCTCCGCCATAGTTAGTGCTGCACTTTGCTTTTTCTTAGCAGGAGCTGAAGTGAAATTCAGAGACGAAGCTCAATTTTTTTTTTTTTGGGCCAACGACGACGCTCAAGGTTGATGGCGCCAAATGGCAATTCCAAAACGGGCGCGCGGACTGAAAATAAATAACAATATATTGTGATATTTATAATAAATTTAATATACATTTCGTTGCAGTCTCGTTTTGTTTAAAAAACGTCACAGTTAACAATAACATATACTCTTCCGGTCATTCATATAATACCTAATTCTTGAGTTGTTTTTTGTCCTAAATATAAGACTCATTTTTTATATTTATCAATTTTCTCTAAATTATCCCTATGATACTCCTCAACCATAATCAAGCAAAAGAAGGAGAGGAGGCATTAAGAAAGATGATAATGGTGTTTTAGAAAAAATATGTCATTTTTCTTATAATTAACTAACTTACCTAACTTCTTTAATCTAATCAAATTAGTTAAATAAATCTTATATTAAAGACCGGACGTGTAACTTACATAAATGTAAAAGATTCCGATTCCTTGCATTTGTATTCTTATTTTTGTTCTCGTCCTATAATTCTGACAGGGTATAACCTTGGAGATCCAGGTCTCTCAACGGAGAACCTATGTGTACTGTATGAAAAACGAGTTTACTCAAAAGAGAAAAGGAAAAATTATAGAGGCAAAATATACATTACAGAGGCTCAACGAAAAGCGAATTCAAATGAACATTTTCAACGCAAACAAAAAATGGGGGGATCCTTTTCAAGGAGGGAGGATGGACGAAAAACATAACCCTTCTCCTCTTTTTCATCAATCAGAATATTAATTCATTTCCATTTTGATTTGACTTTTAAAGTATCAAAGCGCAGTGACCAGTTCTTAACCCGCATACTGGACATAAAACGACCTTCTGATCTTAGAAAACACCACCATGACGTCCAATCTACTCCTATAACGTTGCACTTTAGATCCTATTTGAATATAACATGCCAAGTAGACAATAGATCGATTTTGGAGCCAGAGCTGGCTGGGTACTTGGGTCCGCATATTAGAATGATCCAGCAAATGGCGCGATTTTGCCAAGACAACCATTTCTTTTTTCTAATCGTCGATTCCTCTGTTTATGACAGACAAACGGTGGCATTAGTTTAACAAATTAACAGATTTCTTTAGCTAGTATGGGCTGAACCTCGCATCTCCCAAGAAGACCAACAGCGACGCTCACGTAAAGAAACAAAGTCACCATTACTAGTTTAGTACAGTGCACACTGTTCCTGAATTCTGACATTTTGCGCCAAAAAAATTAAAATTTCAAACAAAAAGAAACCTTTCTTAACCTCAGAAGACATGCTCGCCAAATAAAATTTAGTTTTGTTTTGGAGGGAGCTGCAGGAAATGTTGTGGCGGAGGAGCATTCTCCAAAGACTGCACTACAATGGCCGGCATGTGACCTGTGCTTCGTTCCTCTCGCAAACAAAAAATCTTCTTACTTAGACTTCACATCTTCTTCTCCATCAATGTCTGCCGCGGGATACAGCCGTTCCCAGAGAGCCTCTTCCGCTATCTCTCCCTTTCGTTCCCGGAAGGCCCCTTCTGCCCCGCCGCCGGTCGCAAAATCCTCAGGGAGACCCTCTTCTCCGTCTTCGACCACTTCGTCGAGACCTTCACCGAAATTGCCTATCTCTCCAGCCAGCCCAAGCCCGTCAAACCTTGATCGTCCTGAGGTTTGCAAGGCAAAGGAGAATGTCAGTGTCACCGTCAGGTTTCGACCCCTCAGGTGCTGCACACTGTTGTTTTCTTGGTTTTTCGCTTGAATTCATGGGGCGGGTATCATTCATAACTCGAGTCTTTTCTGTTCTATTTGCGTGTCTTCTGAATCCTTATGTGTGTTTGAGCAGTGCCAGAGAAATTAATAAAGGAGACGAGATAGCTTGGTATGCAGACGGGGATCATATAGTGAGAAATGAGAACAATCCTTCCGTTGCCTACGGCTTCGGTAAGTCGTTCACTTCATGGCCTTCTGATAGTAACATATTCAGCTTTCGACGACACAAAATAAGAAGCTTGATTCTTTACATTTTCAGTTGTTCCAATTGAGTGGGGTGCGGATTGTTGGCAGTTTCCAGTGTGGCAAACGAACCCAACAATTCAGCTCTCCGTGCTCCACCACCTCGTTCCTTCTTCTTGCTTGTTTTTCTTTTCTCAAATTCTTGTATTCCACAGCATACATTACTTCCTATCCGAATAGCTCAACAAGATATTACTGGTTTGATTTGTAGTTCCATGTTTTCACATTATTTGTAATAATATTTTGCGTGGCAGATAAGGTGTTTGGGCCTGCAACAACTACTCGGCATGTATATGACGTGGCTGCTCAGCATGTTGTCAGCGGTGCCATGGAAGGAATTAATGGTAGTATTTTTTTTTTCTGTTATTCCCATTTTCGTGTACTCATGGCTGACTTTGTCCCAAGTTTGGATCTATGAAGTTTGAGGTTTGGCTTAATATATGTTTGCTTGCAATACATATTGATGATCAATCTCACTCTTGAGGAGTTCGAGCTTCTTGTTAGGTCTTATTGAAACATAATAAACCCTGGTAGGTGATCTGCTTACAGTTGCTTCTATTATTTGCAGGCACTGTATTCGCATATGGTGTTACTAGCAGTGGAAAGACACATACCATGCATGTAAGTCCAATTTTCCCTCTTGATGTGGCATTGAGCCTAAGTGCATTGTTTAACTTCTAAGGTTAGCAACTCAAAAGTGCAGCTGATGGTTCATCCTACAATTGATCCTACCCATTGACCTCTGTTCATGCTAAAATAATAGTGTTTCATATATTTCCCAGGGCGAGCAGAAGTCACCTGGAATTATCCCACTTGCAGTGAAGGACGTCTTCTGTATAATACAAGAGGTAAAGGGTTGATCTTTTCATCTTGGCTATTTTTTGGCCTCAATTCCAACTTAGCAGTAAAACCTTATGGCTTTGGTGACAAATCTTGTTTGTCAATTTCAGACACCAGCACGAGAATTCCTACTTCGCGTGTCTTATCTTGAGATTTATAATGAGGTCAGAACCATGAAACACTAAATTAATGTTTCTCACCTTTGTGAATACTTTATGGATGAGAAACAAATATAGTAGTTCAAACAATGCCTATCTGCATCCTTGTTCATAAGTATTTTTAACTTAAATGGGTATTGCTTCTCATTGTTATCTGCTCTTGTTTAGGTCATTAATGACTTGCTGGATCCTACTGGGCAGAACCTAAGAATAAGAGAAGATGCTCAGGTCTTTATGTCAATATGGGAAAGTCCAAAGTTTATCATTATTCATTATCTGCTCTTAGTGATAAAAGCAACTTAGCTGTTGTAGGAATCTTTTGTATTTCTTTTCTTTTAAATGAGCACACTCTGTTATCCCCTTGTTTTGTTTTCATTGGCATTATAACATATATCCATGTTTTCTTAAATTCGAATTAATTGATTGATCTTCAGCTGAGCGTGCAAGATATAAAATGTTGACAGGGAACTTATGTTGAAGGAATCAAAGAGGAGGTTGTGCTATCCCCTGCTCATGCCCTTTCCTTGATTGCTACAGGAGAAGGTATATATATAAACCTTTTCTTTTTTTTGATGTTCTTTTTGGCTTCTTTTTGTATCATTGGTTTGTTTGTTTGTCGTAACTCTAAATTTCTCCTCCAGAATTCTTTACTTGATGCTTTTTTTTTCATGCTTCACTATAACTTTGATGGAAGCGTGACAAATTTTTCCTCTCTCTGATGTCTTCTTTCTGAATAATCCAGAGCACAGACATGTTGGTTCTAATAATTTGAATCTGGTTAGCAGTCGAAGCCACACCATATTCACCTTGGTATGCCAAATCTTACAAAGTAATCTTCATATGCTTGAAATCTGAATGTATATTATTGCCCCTCATAAGTTGAGAAAAGTCAATTTTTGAACTTTTAAACATGCTGTTAACAATTAATGTTTCCTCAAATAAATTATCTTGCTGCATGATATCATTTCTTCATGAATTAAATTTAACATAATAGGCGCATTCTTGAGCTTTTAGTGGCATGTTAACCCTAGTATTTCATGAATTATTTCAGTTCCATCTGTGGATCTACCATGTCAAATCTAATTCATTTTGAATGTAATGTTTCTAACAACAACAACAACAAGCTTTATCCCACGAGGTGGGGATAAAATGGCACCCAGTTGTTATTTTGATTTCATTTGGCTTATGTACTTTACTGAGTACATCGTTTCTATCAGACTATAGAAAGCAGTACTCGTGGGGAAAACACTGGGGAAGAAGATGTGACACTGTCCCATTTGGTAAGGCTATTTACGTAAAATTATGATTCTCAATGGTGCACTATACTGCCTCGGCATATGCCATCTATCCATAGTTTGACTAGTTTTAGGCGCTTAATTGAATTCAAACCTTCCTCCTTTCCAGCACTTAATTGACCTTGCAGGGTCTGAAAGCTCTAAAGCTGAAACAACTGGGTTGCGAAGGAAAGAGGGTTCATATATTAATAAAAGTTTGCTTACTCTTGGAACGGTAATACTTATCTACTCTTTTTCTGCTCTCTTTTCACCATAATTTAATTCTACCTTTATAGTTGTTAGTCTAACTCTTGATCTATTATAAGATATACGGGGTTGTATGCACTTTCAACTGATAGTTGTGAACATTGTGTTCTGTGCTTACTTTTTTATCAATGTGGAACGTGATTAAATTTTTTTTTTTTTTTTTAAAGTGGCAGTAGTGTTTGGGATAATTGGTTCTTGTGTTTTATATTTGACTTTTTGACAATCCTTAATTAGCCTTTGAACACACTTATATTTGGCCCTGATGCATTATTGGTGGGGTGTGTCCCCATGTCTCACAGTCTTGGGGACAGTGGAGTGCGTCTTATTGAGAATGCCGACTGGGGGATATTAAATAAATGTTCTTGGTTGAATTTTTTCCTGTTATGCAGTGTCAGAATGTAATTTGCACTGCATTTTTGAAGCAGTTCATTGGATGTGCTGTTGTTTCTAATTCTTATGGTTTCTGAAGTCCCATTCACAAGTTATGTCCGGTGAAGTAAATAAAATCTCTTCCTGGTCTTCTGTCTTTCTGTTTTGCAGGTTATTTCTAAATTAACAGATGGAAAGGCAACTCATATTCCATATCGAGATTCAAAACTTACTCGTTTGTTACAATCGTCCCTCAGTGGTCATGGACAGATTTCTGTTAGTTCAATATCAGGCTTGCTAATTCCCCCCCCCCCCCAATAAGCAACTTTTTAAAATTCTGCTGGTCGTTTATTTTTTGTAAATTGTTGAGGTTAGCTAATGCTTGAAATGACCTGCTATTCCTTGGTTGCTGAAGCTCATCTGCACTGTTACGCCTGCCTCTAGCAGTAGTGAAGAGACACACAACACGTTGAAGTTTGCATCTCGAAGTAAGCATGTTGAAATCAAGGCTTCTCAAAACAAGGTAATATCATGTGGCTGTTAATAATAGGATATTCCCTAGCACTGTGACTTCATTCTGTTAATTTTTATTGCTTTTCTTGCCTTAGATTATCGATGAGAAGTCTCTGATCAAAAAATATCAGAAGGAAATTCATGATTTAAAGCAGGAGCTTCAGCAGTTGAAGCGTGGTATATTGGAGAATCCCAATGCTGCTGTATCTTCACAAGAAGATCTGGTTAATTTGAAGCTTCAGGTTTGTACTGTTGCATATATCGTGAAATGCATAAGAGACTTTGTCACTTATGCTTTGTTTGGATGCGAAGGGAAAATGGGAGGAGGGAAAATGGAGGGAAGATAAAAGTGAAGAGAAAATGTTCTCTCCTTATGTTGGGATGAGCAGGAGAAAATATAAAAGAAGAAAAAGAGACTGATTTTACAATGATAGTAATACCCATATGAAAATGATGTGGGCTCATGTCCCTTTTTCTCTCCTTCACGGCAGCTTTGAAAAGCATGTTTGCTTTCCAAAATCTCTCTGTCTGAAGAGAAGACTTATAGGAAAAAAACATGTGGACCCCATGCCTTTTTCTCCTCAACTTTTCTTTCCTTATTTTCTCTTGCTATCCAAACAAGGCAAAATACATTTTTCCTCCTGTTTTCTCCTCTCCCTACTTTTCTTTCCGTCCAAACATAGGGTTAGTGGCAACTTTATAATGTGGAAGAAGCCTAGAATAATATGTTGTCTTGATTTTTGATCCACTGGGAACGTAGTGTTTGGTTTACTCATTGCACATTATGTTTGATTCGCGTATTGTTTATTTCACTTGCCATTAATGAAAGCTTACATCATGATGTAAAGCTGGAAGCTGGCCAGTTCAAATTGCAGTCAAGATTGGAAGAGGAGGAACAGTCTAAAGCAGCTTTGATGGGAAGAATTCAGCGACTCACCAAACTAATACTGGTTTCCACAAAGACTGCAATGTCTTCAAACATTCCTGAAAGGCCTAGCCATAGGCGCAGGCATTCTTTTGGGGAAGATGAGGTATGTTTTACTGTTTTAGCATGTTACCCCGTATGGTGATGCAGTCAGTTATCTGCTTTGTGCTAGTGATCTGATATAGTTCAAGTGATCTGTTGTTTTGCAATATGAATTCAGTAACTTGGAATGAAAAGTAATGAAGTCAACTGCTTGTTCTCGTTATTACAGTTAGCATATCTTCCAGATAGAAAACGTGATATTTTGACTGAGGATGATGCTGGAAGCCACGCTTCAGAGCCTTCAGTGGAAGGAAAGGATGATGTTAACTTAGATGAGCTGATGAGGGATTATAAAAGGAACAAAAGACGGGGAATGCTTGGCTGGTTCAAGCTGAGAGTAAGTTATTTTTCTGTTCATTTGAAAGTAGAAATTTGATGATTCATCATGTTAAGAATTAATACCAAACAGTATGGTTACTAACAGAAAAGACTTAACAAGTTCCTCTACCTACAGCGTCACTAATGACTCCCCTTTATTAGTTATACCCATCTTAAGATTAAGGCTCTGATTAAACAATAACCAGTATTAGGTAGAATGATCTCTTTATGTTATGAGGCTGTATTAGCAACTGATTATGGTGACCTGGTCAACTAATTGTATATGTCTCCGTTGCAGAAACCTGATCAGGGGGGATGGTCACCAAATTCTGATGACGAGAGCCCTACAAATGGGACCCCTGCATCATCTTCAAAACAAATGCCAAATAAAGTAATGCTTCGTGACGTGAAAGACCCACGCAGGAATTCAATCAGCACAAAAGAAAATGCTTTAGCTCTTAATTCATCTCCTTTAAGAAACCAAGCCGGTGACTTGTTTAGTGGAACTACCAAAGGTCGTCAACTTCCTCCGGTGAGATCTCAGCTACTAGTGAAAAATGCAACAGGAAAGATGTTTATGTATTTTACGAAATGGATTAATCTGACATAAATATTCCAAGTGACTATTTTGCAGACTGGGAGCACAATAACTGATCAAATGGATCTTCTTCGTGAACAAGTAAAAATGCTGGCTGGGGAGGTGGCATTATGCACCAGTTCTCTGAAACGACTGTCTGAACAAGCTGTTAACCGTCCTGAAGATTTACAACTACAGGTGAGCTACTATTTAGGATAGTCCAATGAGGACTTGAACATTGTTTTTATTATGAAAACTGAGGTGGCTGGTCTGGTGATGATGGCAGGAGCACATGCAGAAGTTGAAGGATGAAATTAGTCAAAAGAAGGACCAAATCCGTATTCTGGAGCAACGTATGCTTGGACCACTTCGGATGACGGCACATGCACCCAATAACAGTGAAATGTCTGAGGTAAGGATAATGATTATTTCTTATATTAAAGTTTGTTTCATGCTATTTTGTATATATTATGGTGAACAGAAACAGATAATTGTTGTCTAAACTTGTGCACAATAGTTCACAGAATACGGAAAATTTATTCCAAGGACAAAAAATAAAAGAAATAAGACAAATAACGTGACCAAATGACATTCTGTTTTCTGACACGTCCTTTTCTTTTCAACGTCACTTGCTCTAGAATTGGAAGCCCTTAACATACTTAATGCATTTTTTCCCCCCCAAAAAAAAAACTTAATGCATTTTACGTGGCCAATTAAAGAACTAAAATTCGTTATAAAATTGAAGGGAAGAGAAGTATTTTGGATATGGCAGTAAGAGGGGGATGAAAATCAGTGGCTTTTTATTCTTTTGCCGGATTTTTAGGTCTAACAAGGTTGTTTATGATAGCTTCGGTTTGGTGTATTGAATTGCTTAAATTGACAACTCAATTACTCTTGAATGTAGGCTCTGGCCAGGCTTACCACAGAGCTCAACGAAAAAATTTTTGAACTTGAGGTTGGTTTTTCTATCTTCTTCGTACCGGTTTTGTTTTTATTTTTCCCCCACCTAGCAAGCAGAAAATATTGCGAGTATCATGCTGAGGTATTCTCTCTTGCTGTTGAGTATTCAAGATCAAGTCTGCAGACAACAGGATACTCCAAGAGCAACTGCAGTCTAAGGTACATCACACAACTGTATTTTCTTTCATGGGGACTTCCAATTTCTAATTCATTTCCTCAATTTTCCACAGAATTTAGAATGCGCTGGTATGCAAGAGACTATACTTATGCTAAGGCAACAAGTAGATTTATTGAAGAATAAAACCTCAGATAGTTATCAACCATTGGCTGAAAGTGAGACTGAGCCAAATGACGTGTGTTTTAAAGTGATATCGGAAGTGACCCACGAAACATCTAGCGTTACAAACTTAAATATTCAGGAGCACTCCAGGCAAGGCAGTAATAATTCCCATTTTAGTTCTCAAATTTGTATGCAGGTTTCTCTCTCTCTCTCTCTCTCTCTCTCTCTCTCTGTGTCTGTGTCTCTGTGCGCTTGGTTTCTTTTGGAAGGGGTTTTTCTTTTAATCTTTGTCACTATTGCACTGTTTAGGCAGCTGAAATAGAGAATTTGAGGCAAGATAAAGTGAGATTGGCTGAAGAAAAAGATGGGCTTGAAATTCAGAGTCGCAAACTTGCGCAGGAAGCTTCATATGCAAAAGAGTTGGCAGCCGCTGCAGCTGTTGAACTTCGAAACCTGGCCGAAGAAGTAACCAAACTCTCCTATGAGAATGCAGAACTGACCGGTGATCTGGAAGCTGCAAAAATGTCTTGTTGCAAGTCTAACTGTTGTCAAACATCCGCTTCGTGTGATCACAAACAAAGTATTAATAATACTCAGCAACAAGATGGTCAATCCAGAAAGCTTGGGAATGATGTTCTGATTGAGAAGTTGCAGAGGAACCTTAAAGCTGGATTCCAGAGAGAAGCTTTGTTGGAAGCTGCTCTATCCACAAAAGACCAAATTGAAGTGGAGCTGAGAAGAAGGCTTGATGAAACAAAACACCATGAACAAGATATGGAAGATGAGCTAGCAAGTATGCGGGTGCTGGTTGCGAAGATGAGAAAGTCTGGTGTTAATATGGACGACAAGTCAACACTCTGTAAGCTTAATGATATACAAACCAGGGTTAAAAATGGACTCCGTCCAACTAACGGCAACGCTAACAGAAAAACATACAAAGAGGATGAATCTTTAGCAGCTATGGAAGAGGTGATCGCATTGGAAGAACTCAAGGCTAGTTATCAAAGAGAAAGAAGAAGATGCAAAGAACTAGAGAGTGTTATTTCCAGATTGAAGGTATCTCATTCCCGAATTCTTTCCTACCTCGTCTACTATGCCGTGAATCGATAATGTTAATTAATAACTCAACAGTCATTGTCTGCATAAACTAAAGGTCTGAATAATACTACCAATCGCTGAGAGAATACAAATTTAGGTTACAGTTCTGAAGAAGAGTCAGAATTTAGAAAGACATAAGCCCGGGTATGTTTAATTTCTCCAGGGACCTTGAATTTAATTCCAACTAGTTACTACTCAGCTTGCATAGAGTTATATAGCAAATTAGTTCATTCTAATTAGAAGCTTTCGACTAGCAAGACTTGGACATTGAAGTTAAGTGGTTTTCTTGGCATAGAAATTATGAGCCATGGATTACATGCTGTTGGTTTTCCTGTTAGCATGATTCCTCAACCCTTCCCCGCGTGGAATATTTTATATTTGAATGCTTTGTGAATGTGTTTTTTTGGTGCCTGACAATTATAGTTGGCACAATGGGCTCAAGTTGATGGCCGGCTATTTCACCGGCATAAGCCAATAGTTGTTAGGTATTCTCTAGAACATGAAGATAGAGAATGTTCAAATGACGTCTCTTTTGATAACGTGATAGGGTGAGGACATTGGTGGTCTGGACGTTATGGCCCTTGAAGAACTTCAAAACCTTCATATTGAGGCAATAACAAAGATCTGCCAAGCCAAGGTAATATTTCTTGCATGCCAAACGTTCATAGTAAGATTTAATGTCTTTTCCCTGTCACTAATATCCTGTAAGGCTGTAACCTTAGAAATCGTATTTCGCCTGAAAATACCCTAGTGCCAACTTGCTTTGCCCCCAGTGCATCAATCCATTTATTTTTTTTACGCATAACTAAACATGAAAACTGATTAACATTTTTTGATAGATGAATATATTCTCAATTTTTCACGCTTTATATCAGAAGTCAAATCCATAAAATGAACAACCCTCATCCATCAGCCTGAGCAAATTTTAGGAGTTGCGCTGTGCTTCTGTTTCAACAACCTTAAATTTTGAACAATACCAGTATGAAGTTTTCGTCTCTTGTGCTTAATATTGCAATCTCTTGTGACCGAAGTACCGTGACTGATAAAGATCATTTAACAACTTGCAGTATGCAAATCAAGACTTGTAGAAAGTTGCTGTGGCTACTGTGAGTATATTATACACAAATGTACTCCAATGATTATTTTCCTAATTTGACGATGCTTAAACTCAAGTATCATGTACTACATGCAGGTACAGTATACTTTGTAACTCAGACTGATAAGTAACAATCAATCACCTTCTGGCTGGGATATGGAAAAGCTACAGCGAAGGTGGATCCTCTAGCTTAATGCTCGACTCTGCTGATGGCATTTTGGGGCTCTACATCAACTGTTCTCCACCAGGCATTACTATTATGCGTGCGTAGAGTTACAAATCATATATAGTTGCTAATGAAGCAAAGTATTCTAGGAAGGTTGGCAAAAAATGAACCTATATCTATGTAATATGTTGTGCCGTGGACATGGAGTTACATATGCAATCCAGTGATGAACGCATCAGCAATCTGTGATATCTATCATGTGCAGGTCAACGATCAGCTAAAATATCGAAATTGGCTGCGTAAGGTAGTGAAAAAACGTCATCAAAGTCACGATCCACACTGTTAATGAACAGGGAAAAAAATTCCGTAGTGAGAAAGCCCTCTGAGCAATGATCAATCACACTAAAAGATATAACAGAGATTGGTTTATTACTTGGGAAGCCTGTCACAATTGGAAGAAACCCATCCGATCTGCTGTTTCTCGTTGTCGTAGATCACCATTTTATCTTGTAATGAGATGTCTGCTCGCAGAGAGAATAACTAACAATCAAACAAACAAAACATCGCGAAGTGAAGAATGATTTCTTAAAGATTGGCATGTCTTGATCGTACCTCCAATTATGTTAAGATCTTCCAGTCCTACTTCCTCGCCATTTAGGATCCCGAAGCAGACGTTTCCGTGTTTCTGGGTAAGGCATCACGTTAGAAATATGATTTCGTTTGTTTCCCTGTTGCTATGCGAGGAAGAAAATGATCTTGTGATGAAAGGTGCTCACCGTAACAATTAAATAAGCTTCTGGTGGTAATGGCAGCAGCACCTTTTTCCTTTTTGTGAAGCTCATTGCCAAAGGCTTAAAATAGCTCTTAACATCACGTAATGATTTGAAAGGTTTTGCACCCTTCCAGCAAATTGGAAGGGACGGGTCTTCTTCTTTGGTTGCTCTTGTCAATTGTGATCCCTTCAAGTCATTAATCACCTGAATATAGATAAAGGATTACTGATTTATCTAAAAGCCAAAAACACAGGCGCTGATTGATGATCATCATAAAACGAGGTTTCTTCAGTTACATCTCACCAGATCGACAACAGCTTGATAAGCCTTGGAATTGAAGTATGTGTAGGAGCTCCCGCTGTCAAATATAACTTCAAGACCCTTAACATTAGAAGGCTTTCCATTGAAAAGTAGTTCAGCTGGTCCTGAGCTATAGCGCATTCTGAAGAAATGATTGTGCAAGTATTTGCGAAAAAAATTAATAAAAAAATTCATGTGAGAAAAACACAAATATTTTGGCATAGCTTACTCCGAGGAACTAGACAGCATAGGGGTCCAAACAACTCCAGATGAAGGAATGAGATCATCTCCAAAGAATAGATAGCCTCCTCCTTGCCCACTTAAGCAGTGTCCTACTACATTGCGGGTGAGACCCATAGAATGAAGCTGTGACAAAATGCTTGCTTTGCCACTTCCAAGACCAAGAACTCCCGCCGTAGAAGGTGGAGAGGTTGGGCCAGAGAATTTCTGATCATACCCACACCTAGCATTCAAAAGATAAACGTACTATCAATCAGATTGGAAAATCTTAGCACAGTTAAATTTTAAAGAAAATTACACCGCCATTCGGGTGCGCAAGCACTGTCTAGGATGGAGCTAGAAGACTCACCCAAAGGCGATTTGCGGACGTATGACAGAGCCATTGGTTAATTGAAGGGGAATGAAGTCTCGGACAAGCACGCCAAGAGATGCTCCATTGTCTGCATACTCGACCTCGTAGTCGCATTGCTCATCTGGAGCAGAACATTGGGATATTGTCGATAAGTGAATTCGAGAGCACAACTGGTCCGAACACTGTACCACGTTGTTATTGGGTTTATAAAGTTTATCACGGGGCTGCAAACACAACAGTCCGGGAAAGGAAAAATGGGAGGTTACTGCCGACTGCTAATATTTCAGTACGAAGTACGAAGTGATTCTTTTTAATTGAAAAAGAAGTTCACCTTGGTGCAACCTTTACACGGTGCATCACACTGTACCCAAGTGAGGTCACTACCGGAGTCAATATCAAGGTCGAAGATCTTGGAAGAAGAACCAATGTTGAGGGTGACGGTGTAGTGCCTGCAGAGAAACAAAGTGATTATATTTTCATTGGATCTTATGATATTAATTCGAAAATAAGACAAGTAAACTTTTAGAAAACAATCGCCTATGTTGCTATTACTTAAAAGCCACTATGAATGATAGATAAGAAGTTACTTAGAGTGAAATTAAGCAAGAGATGGGTCCACTTTTTCATTGAGAGAAAGGAGAAGCGGCCCTTAAATGGGAGGCCCCTCGAGTAAAAGTACTTTGTAGTAGTAGATCAGAAATTGAAAAGTGATAGCCGTAAGACAAAATTCGACCCAAACGAAGACGACTCTGAAAGTATTCAAGAAACTAGAAAAGAAAATGATATCAAAAGAACTGATGAGAATAAAAGATCATGCTGCGAATGCAACAATTTAAAATCTCCAGACTGGCGGAATGGGAGACAAAAAGGGAGGACGCAGGATCAGTAGCTCAACCAGAAACCTAAGACGGATAGATGAAGAATGATCCAAAAGATTAGGATATCGCAAGACAGAACTTAAATTCGGAAAATAAAAACCAATTAAAAAACCTAAAATCAGTTAAAGAATGTCAGCAAGATGATATAGCATATAGGAACATAACTTTTATAGTAAGATACATACCCAAGAGGATATACATTCCCTTGAAGCGGGAAAACAGCTGAGGAGCTAAGGCGATTAGCAGAAGTCGGGTGCGTCGGCTTATTAGAGTTACGGGGTTGATTGGCCGCGGAGGAACACGGTGGAAAAACAGGAGACAAGCCCAGAAAAAATATGATCATGAATGCGATTCCCTTGCTTTTGACACCCATCATGATAAAAGGAAATGATTGCTCTGAATCAGAGGAGGAAGGTGGGAGTAAAACGAAAAGGTTTGGATCAAAAGGGGAAATGAAAAATTGAAGAGGGAGGAAAATTTGCCAGCGGAAGTCTGAACTCTGAAGTGAAGAGCCCAATGGCGGGTCTGGTTAGGTGGCGCTGGTTTTGCTCGGGTGGCAAAGTCAAAGGGCAAGAACGCCCACGCATGGCCTTTTCCTCTCTCTTTCTCCTTTCCACCCCCCAAAGAACGACCGCAGTGTGTTTGGATGAAACCAAACCATGGTTTAGAAAAGTGATTTTGGAGAAAATAGATTCTGTGAAAAATAGATTTTGTAAAAAAGTGATTCTGAGAAGTGAGAGTGTTTGGATAGTTGTTATCAGAAGTACTTTTTATATATACAAATTACTAAAAAAAAGACATAAGTTAATATGATAATTACAGAAAAAATAGATTTTATAATATATTTTAATTTGAAGGAATAAAATTGTTAATAATATGTTTTTTACCAACATAATTAATAATACATAAGATAATATAATTAATAAATAATTAATGTTTATATATATTTATAAAATATAAGATTAAATATATTTATAAAAAAATATGTTTATAAAAAAAATAACAAGATACATATCATATAGGCCCTCACACTCTCCCTTTTTTCTCCAAAAGCAAAAAAATTTTGCTTTTTCCAAAACCATGATTTTGACCCAAAACCATGGTTTTGGTTTTTGGAGGGGGTGTTTGGGTAGATTATTCCCCAAACCATGGTTTGGGGTGTCACCCAAACACACCCTAAACAAGGGTCAAACACTCAAAATTTGGATTTGGGGGTATTTGATTGAAAAAAAAATGATAAAATTTAATCAGTACCAGTACTACCCTGATTCTTATTATTGATTCTGATTTTTAATATAAAATCTAATTTGATTTTAATTTTAATCTTAAATATAAGATAATAATTTATTTTATCTCTCATATTTATCTATTTTTTTAAGGTAGTCCTTCTAATAATAGTAATTCTATCTAATAAATTTGATTAGCAAAGATATTTTAAGAAGAACAAGACATATTTATTACAAATAACTAACTTAACTTATTTTCTTAATCTACTCAAATTAGTCTACTAACTCTTGTATTTAGGACCGGAGATGGTATAAGAATTAATTGACTAATTTAAATATATTAGAAAAATTAGTTACTTAGTTATTTGTAATAAATATGTGTTTTTTTAAAATATTCTTGTTAATCAAAATGTATTAGTTAGAAATACTATTTGATGAAATATTTAATATGTCCAACTACCGCAAAAGTTACTTTAAAAAAATGGATAAATATTAGAAACAAAATGAATTGAGATCTTATATTTAGGACTAAATTAAAATTTAAACTAACTCTTATATTAAGGACCGGAAGATGTAGTATTAAATTCATACAAAACCAAGTACTGGGCTTTAATTGTTAAAAAAAAACACTTTGTCTTTTTTATCTGTTTTTTTTTATTTTACAAATCACTCCATCATTTTACTTTTTTTCTTTGACGAATCACTTTCTTTTTAATTATCCAGCAGCCGATGTTGAACTTTTAATTTGTATAATAAATTTGCTATATATACAGTATACGCACACATAATTGAATCATTATAAACATTTAACGAACACAATTGGTTTTCGTTTATATCATTGGACACTTATTATCAGTTTGATTCACATATAAGAATATAATGGTTAGGAATAGAGTGTAATAACATCAAGATTACTATGAATCTGTTTGACATGGTACAAAGAATATATAATCAAATTTATTATTTATATTTTATTAAATTACCATTAAAATAAACAGACATAAATACCAGCTCTTGCCTCCTCGCTCTTCATCTTCTTCCCATGCATCTGGGGGAATGGGCATTGATGGGAAAAAGTTCAACCCAAACAACAAATGCATTTAGATTATCCGTAATGGGCCATTCATGAATTGCACCAAAATGGCCCATGCAAAAACGAAAGCTTACACCCCCCCCCCTTTTCTTTTTTGCGGCTGCCTATTTCTGCGTTGATTTTTATATCTTCACATGCAAAGCTCAGAATGTATCCTTTTACCATAACCTCTTCGATTAGAACCGTTAGTATTATTATTCTCCATAATAAATCTTCAATAAGAGATTAATTTAACTTAATCTAGGCCCTAGCTCCATTCACGACCGTGCGGATATCGTCACTCTCTTCTCCGTCGCTGTATGCTTGACATGACCTCCATTCACAACCTTACCAATGCCACTGCCACTGCCGGAAAAGAGTGTTGCAGAACAGAAGAAATCATCAATTCATCATGCTCAACCCACCCCCCAACGAACTCATCAAGCACAGCAGGGTATAAAGATATAACCACGATTATTTTCCACTCTTTAGATTAAAAATTAATTCTTCTAATTCAGTGCATAAAATGACAAGATGGTTATTACAAAAATCTGGCCAACTCGTGGTAGTGAATTGTTGTCCCTCAGTAATAACGTGTGGTCATAAACGGTATAGAATCTTGACTCTGATTTCAAGCGTGCTAGCCATTCAACTAAGGATTGTTTTCCCTCTGACTTTGTCGGCCTTTTGGCTAAGATCAAGTGCTCGGATTGTTTTCCCTCTTTGGATTAAACTTCACTATCAGGACCCTGTCGAAGAAGGCTGAAAACAGGGAACAAACACGGAGTTCGCGGCATTCGATTTTCGAGGTGGTGATCCTCATAAGCCTAGTCATAATGCAAGCCGAAGTAGCAAAATCCAAAGCAACAACAAGGGGAGGAAAATATCTGTACCACCTTCCCATTTCTTGTTCAAGAAAAAGCCGCCGCCACAAACAGAAGCGAGACCTGGAGCAGCAAGCCGATCATGTTCCCTAATTCGCGTGGGACGCTAAACACACAACACCACCCCAACCCAAAAAAAAAAAACCAATTGAGGAAAAGCTCGAATGCGCCCTTGAAAAGCTGCGTTATGGATGCGAGAAAAAGATCAAGATCATAACGAATGTGCTGATAGATACCGAGGGCGATTCCATCATGGGTTTTTTCTTCCAAAGAATCATAGCATAATAGAAATTAGAGACTTTACTAGTTTTTTTTCTCTCCCTGAAACAGGGGGAATAGTTCAACAGGAGGAAATGTTGACACTTTGGCAATAAATGTGAAACCTGGATGGACGAAAGGAACAACGATAACATTTGAAGGAAATGGAAACGATAAACCTGTTGCACATCATGAAGACAATTTTTATCGTCTCCGACATAAGATACGGATTGTTTAGAAGAGATGGTGAATTTGGAGCTGGGATTCCTCTTCTCAAGGCTGGCTTCACATTTTCAGTGCCCATGCTGCGTGGGGAAAAGATGAGTTTCACGGTGGGCGATAATCCCTGGCTACCGGACCATTGTCACTCGCCAAGGCATACCACTCTCCAGAGAATCAAGAAAGAGAGGAGACTTGAGAATTACATTTCTATTTGCTTTTCCTAAACTTACAGATGATCAAAGATCTGAAATTTTTGAGCATCTTACAGGATTCTTGTTGATCAACAGCTTCTCAGAACAACACCCCAAAACGATAAACCTGTTGCACATCATGAAGACAATTTTTATCGTCTCCGACATAAGATACGGATTGTTTAGAAGAGATGGTGAATTTGGAGCTGGGATTCCTCTTCTCAAGGCTGGCTTCACATTTTCAGTGCCCATGCTGCGTGGGGAAAAGATGAGTTTCACGGTGGGCGATAATCCCTGGCTACCGGACCATTGTCACTCGCCAAGGCATACCACTCTCCAGAGAATCAAGAAAGAGAGGAGACTTGAGAATTACATTTCTATTTGCTTTTCCTAAACTTACAGATGATCAAAGATCTGAAATTTTTGAGCATCTTACAGGATTCTTGTTGATCAACAGCTTCTCAGAACAACACCCCCCTCCCCCCCCCCGGGGGGGGGGGAGGTAGCACTGAGTTCTATGATGCTCAACTACCATTTATTATCTCACCAGAATGATCTTTCGTTAAGACACAACAATCAGAAGGCGTCTCAATTTCACAGAAAAATGCATGCACTCACATACACAAAATAATGAATGGTGTTCAATTTACTCTCATAGACACGAGATCAAATAAAGTTAAACTGCGCATTAAATTACAAGCAAGCCAGAGTGAAAGGTGTATCATCATTGCCGGCCAAGTTTCAAGGCAATTTAAACTTAAGACCATCCAAAAATGGCACGGATTATACCAAGTATACCGCCGCCAATCAAAGCCTTGAGCAACCTGAGCTTTGTATTAGTGTACGGAGGGTACCTCACTGAGGCATCTCCCACGAAACCGCGATACAAAACTGCTTTTTTGTGGCTAAAGGCTTCAAACGAGAACTTCCCATGGTATGAACCCATTCCGCTCTCCCCCACTCCTCCAAATGGCAAAGTATGGTTGACGAGCTGCATCAAGGCAAAAATGCCAAAAACGAAATTGGCACAGTAAATATGAATAACAAGAATCACTGAAATAGATATGGACAACTCATGCAGTCAAGGATAAGTTGTGAGAAGAGAGAAAATATTACATGCACGGCAGTGTCATTGACAACCAAACCCCCTGCAGATACGGTCATCACAAACTGCTCCCTGAGCTTCTTGTTGTTGGTAAATAAATATGCAGCGAGGGGTTTTGTTCCTGAATTAATCACATCGAAACTTTCTTCCAATTTATTGACCTGTTCCAAGCCATAAGGAAGGCGTTATAAGAGAGGAGGTTTACTAATGACCGCTTCGAAATTTGCGTACGCTCATTTCCAGGTCTGTATAATAGTTAGCCTCCCAAGTTCTGCTAATGTTTAAAAAAGAGTATGGTATATGAATCGTCTTATTACAGGTCAACTGAAATTTTCCCTTGACAACCATCGCAGAAAAGAGTTATGGCGTCTGTTCTGTCACTCTGAATAGTTAATTTTACCCTATCAAGAAAGAATTGATCGCCGACTCTTGATTTACATGAAGAAATTATTTCTATTGCAGCTTTCAAAACAATCCAAGATCATTTTCATATTATTCATATTACGTTATTGAAAGAAACAATCAAGTTAGTGACTTGATTATTACCGTGATAATGGGAAGTAAAGGACCAAATATCTCCTCCTTCATTATCAAAGAATTCCGAGGAGCATCTAATAAAATAGTGGGAGCAATCCTCCTGCCATTTAAAGGAAAGAAGTGTTGATATCAAGATCCGTAGCGCATTTCAATTCACTAAACCAGAATTTTTCAATAAGATAGACAGCAGAGAAAGCTTACAATTTGCTTTCATCCTTCTGTCCTCCATAAACAATCTTACCAGCGACCTTATCATCCTCCAACAGCTTTGTCAAGCGAGCAAAGTGATTCGAATTCACAATGCGGGACAAATCTTTTGATTCTAATGGGTTTTCTCCATAAAATTTCTCCAATTCAGTCTTTAGGGCATCAATCTAGAAAAAAAGAGGCACCAAACAACAAATAAACAAAGACATGGATTCAAATTCTGACTGTGCATCTAGGAGACTTCTTACCAACTTGGGGGCAAAGTCTTTTATTGTTAGAATGTAATCTGGCGAAATGCAGGCTTGTCCATTGTTGCAACCCCACTTGCCCACAATTATCCGTCTAGCAGCTACCTTGTAAATACAAATCAATTTAAGTTACATATAACATGAAAGGAAGTTCACGCAACAGCAAGTGAAAAGAAAATGGCTCAGGCCATACTCGTAAATTGATATCTGAATCAACAACAACTGGAGATTTCCCTCCAAGCTCCAGAACAACCGGCGTAAGGTGTTTTGCAGCAGCAGCCATCACTATGCGTCCCACTCTTCCATTACCTACAAATAGAAGGATTATGCAATATTCTGGAGGCGTCTTATCACAGAATGACTTCTGTCATAAATTAATGAAACAGTGTAGAGAGAGAGAGAATAAGAGAAGAAAGTACAGTTTATTGAAGGATAAGATACCCTCAAGTCAGAAATGACAAGGCAACCTGAAAACAGGACTAAGAACGACATCCACACAAAACTTATAAGTGGGAAAGGGCTGTCCAATCGCTTCCCATTTCCATATCAGATACAGTGCTCAGAGCACCAACGAGAAGTCGTATACATATTTTGTAAGAAGAAGGCTTGATGTATGTTTCGATCGAGAAGAACTAAGAGAGAAACCGGAAATGACTCATTGAAATTGAATTTATTTTAAATCAAGAGCTTTATACAACAAGGAAGGGGGACGATGGATTTTCAACAAACCTCCCAAATCCATCGACAGTCCTCCAACCCTCTTGTCTTTAAGCTCTATCGTGTCAAATCATAATGTCAGGTAACTAAGTGATCATATAATTAGATACTAATTATAACAACAGGTAACAGTGTGCAGCTACCAAATTTCTTTCATTTCACCATCATTTTTGTGTTGGTAACAACCATCCCTTTTTCTCTTGTTGATGTTAAACTTTCAGATGATAGCCGAAAAGACAAATTTAAATGAGAAAAAGGAAAACAACTTCCAAAATCAACAAGGAATCAAAATAACGGCAATAAGATAAACCTGTGTAGAAAATTTTGTCCCACTTTTGCTGCAGCAGAGCAGATGTTTCATCGACTGCCCCCTCAACGACCTTTATAGATGCTTTATCCATGTACTCCTCTAGCAATTTTGCCATCAGCGATGATGTGGCCGGAGCAATTTCTGACGGTTTAAGCACCACCGCATTACCAGCTGCAATAGCTCCAATGACTGGATCAAGTGATAACACTGAAAGGACAGATATAGCAGTCAATAAGATCCTCATAAAAGATTCTTTTACAGAAAGAGCTTCGTGAAAAGCAAAAGCTGAAATGTCATCTCAGAAACACATTAAAAAAAAAAGAAAAAGAAAAGAAAAGAAAAAACAGAGTCACAAATCAACGTACAAAATGGATAATTCCATGCCGAGATGATTAACACAACCCCCAGAGGTTCCGACACTATTTCTGCTGAAGAAGGAAAAGTAGCGATTGAAGTTTTGACCTGCATTTAAAGGAAGCTAGCGTAATAAGTCAAAAACCATGTCAAACAATCATACAGCTAAACATCAGACTGTCCTAATCTGTGAAAAAACTACAGAAAATTACCTTTTCCGGCTTCATCCAATGTTTCAGTTCTTTCAGTGCAACTTTACATGAATTTTTCAGCATAGCAATCTGCGTGACACGTCAAATACTCAGTTAGAAGAGGACAGATTCCATTGTGATACATTATGCTGGTTGCATAAGACCTTTCATTCAACAAGTGAATATGAACAAGTTATTAGCCAAAATTCTAAATTTTCAGTTTCATGTGCTTGTTGGAAGCTCAAAGTTGGCTACCAGCCGAGCTAGCTGGAGATGCTTCGTTGAATAATCGGATTACATACTATATAACCAGTGGCGTCTTGATGCATAACTGACCTCGAAAGTGAACTCCTGATCAAGCTAAGAAATGCGCAACTACATAAACGACCACACACGCGGGAACACTCCAAACAAAAGCTAAAAAGGAAAAAGAGAAATTTCAACTAACGTTTACGGAGACTAATAACGAGATGCACGACTTGCACGTCAACAGAGATATCCTGTGAAAAATACTTCTAGAAATACTTCACTCATCGTAGCAATAAATTCAAGACCTGAAGCCACCTACCAGAGGCAATGTTGAAACATGAGAGAACCATAAGATTGGCCCACCCCAAAATGGAAGGCCGGGTGAACTTTTGGAGAGCGCCATTAATTCTCACACCTGCCACCCACATGGTAATATTTTTCATGGCTACCACCGAGTAGCCCATTTCACGAAAATAATTCTCCTAATTCCGTTACGACAGAAGCACACAGATGAATTTAGTGTCCCAGTGACAAGACGTGAGCATAAAAAATGGTGTTAAAAGGAATCGAACCCACTGTGAGATTTCTGATGGGGAAGCACAGCAGACAAATTCAAATAACATGCAACTAAAGCTGAACAAACATCTATAGCATGCTTTCCGTAAAATCGGACCATACATAATAAATGAACATATCAAGAATCCAAAAGCACGATTGAACAATTTTGACCAAAGAGAATTTCTAGCGATAACAAGTCATCACCAAATTTAGAAATTAGAACAGGAAAACGTGAAGAACGAGAGACTATTTAGAAAAAGGAAAATAGGGGGATGGGGGAAAAAAACAGATGAATGACTATCAAACATGGATAGGTTGTCATATAGGAGACCTCGTAGGCGACGGTTTCAAGCGGGGGCTTGTAGAGATCGGAGCGGAGAGCCTCGATAATCTGTTGCTCACGATCATCGACCAACTTAGAAAGGGCCTTCAACTGCGAAACTCTCCACTCGTAGCTTCGCATCCTGCCAGAAGCGAAGGTGCCCCTCAGCTCCTCCACAAGCAAAGACGCTGCTTCTGGATCGAACACTTTCCTTGACTTCTCTGACGACATTATCAGCGACAGCAAACACAATCGGCCAGAAGCACAGAAAAAGAAAGAGGATTGCTTCGCTCTCCCACAATGCTAGAAAATTGAACTAGCGCTGATATAATAATGTCTCTGCAGGTTGAATTGGATTAGCTTCTCAACGGGGAAGGAAGTACGAAAACGCTACGATGGCAAACAAAGGCGTCGCGTCGTTATGGTCTATCGATCTCAGACAATCTCTGGCGTGAACCAATGATGGGTGGGGTTGACATTTATATAGGAAACTCCTCGTAGACCATGACGATGAGAGTGTTTGTCACGCGATGTCGATAGAGCTTAGGTTGGTGAGGAGATTTGCTTGCTTGGGTGTACGAAATCTTCCCCAAATCAAAGCTGCTTTGAATAAGTGACACTAAAACTCACTACTTATAAAATTTTTACTTTTTATTTCAAATCAAAAAAATCCTTTTTTAAAGATTTTATGAGTAAAGCAATAACTTGAATTCGAATGTATATGAAATCTTTCATCATATTAGTATTTTGTTTGTATAAAAACATATTAATGTCTTCTATAAAAAAAATCTAAATAAGGAATTTTACAAATGTTTCAAAATAGCTTATTAGTATGAAACACAGAGGAAAAAAAATTCCCCATTACATAGCAAAATAAGCATCATTAAATAAATTTGCGACACTAATATAGACCATTCCATTGTAATGACATAATTTTTTCAAGGAAAAAAATCTTCTAACCAAATAAAATATATTGGGGTGTTGATTCTAATGAAAAAAAATTAATTGCTTAAACATGAGATTTTAAGTTTAAATCCGTGTAAATGTTGAGTTTGATAATACTCACGTAAATACACAAAATGCATTTTTATATATAATTTTTCCAATTTTCGAAATCATCACCCGTGATTTACACAGATGTATTTTTACCTGAAATTAGTCTACAGGAAATTCCAAATGTGTTTCTGTGGAGCGCTTCCTAAATCAGAACAGTAACCATGATTTGCCAATCACCGTGATTCATACACAAGTGACGGCGTATTTCACGAGCAGCCTTCGATTTTAGGCCACAGGATGTCGGCGTGATGTTATGCTGGTGTCAGAAATAATTTAAGAATTAAATATTCGCACGTGGAATATTGGCCTTCACGTCAGTAAAATATGTGTAAGTACATCTTCGTGAGTAGTTTTGTGCCCGCCAAATAAATAAACATGCTGTTTGGTCGACACAACCCAAGACACAGGAATAACTCTGATGGATGACTCAAATAAAGGCAGACGTCCCCATTCCACTTTCCAGCACAGGCCAACATTCCAATGATTCATAGAGAAACAGGTTTCCAGGATATGTTGGTGTTATTTTTATATGTAGTTTTGCACAAGTAATGTTCTTCTAAAACTGAGCCCAGCCGGGGCAGTCGCGTTAGCCTGCCTGTGCTTTTGGAAACTCCATTTTTCTTCTGTGAGGTATTAGAATAAATTTTATTAGAGATATTATTAAGTAGATATTTTTTTAACAGAAATTTTTATCTTAATTCTTGTGAAAATTAGCTCATTCTGTTAGGTTTAACTTTTTTCCAAAGAAATAAGAATCCCATGGTTCTAGTACTGGGCACACACCAGCTTTGCTGTATTGGGTGGGTGGGGTTGTTGAACTCACAACTCTACCACCGGGCCAAGTTGGCCGGTGGTTAGGAGCTGTAACTTGTACGCGTCCGGCTACATAAGTCGCATATGATCCCACGGCTTCTAACTCGAACTCCAACCGAGGAAAGAGGACGAAAAGGAGGGAAAGGGTGGGAGGCGGGCGGGGTTCACACGCGCGCAGACCGAAAAGCAGAAAAACCATCACGAGTGGGTGCCTAGAAGTCAACGGTTTCAAACTACCTCCATTTCCCCCTGCCAAATACTAAATTGGTAACCAGTTCTATAAGGATTGAACCCCCCACCTGCACTGCTTACTCCTCCTCTTTGCACAAGGTTAAATTTTAAGACATGGTTAATGAAATTTAATATTTTTTTCTATTTTGATATAACATGTTCAAGAATGAGAGAAATATGTGTACCATATTAACTCCTATAAAATTAAAGTCAAAAAATAGTAAATGCTAATAAACAAGCACAATAAATGAACATCTTGTATGGCCCAAATAAATGAACATCAATTGGCGGGGTTGGGCAGTCAACATGCATGGCATTCATCAGATATTTCATATATATCCAAGGAAAATGGGCCCTGCCAATAATCTTCACATGCCGCAATAGAAATTACTTTCTAGATATTTTTCTGATAGCGGATAGGACGCGTCACCAAACCTGACGAGCTGATGGCCCGGTTCTGAAAGTTATCAGCAGACCTGGGATTCTGGTTTGGCCGTGATTTAAAAAAAAAAAAATGGATGAAGTTCATTTTTGATTTTATCAGATATTATGTCCTTAATCTGCTTTTATTATATGAACAAAGTTAGTTAGTGAATATAAGGGGTATTACCTGACAAACAGCAATTGATGTGGTTTTAAAATGATTGACGATTTCTTCTCAAGAAAATGACAATGGAAGAGGATGAGGTACAATAAAATCCATATTAAGTTATATTATTTAAAAAGTCTTGTACAGGGGTTTATTCAATAAAATTTACACAAAAGTTATATAGTAGATCGCATTATTAAAAACTCCAAACAACATGGCTATTTTTCAAACTCTACGCGAGTCAGAGTTTGTCTAGTTTTATATCAATAGAATTTATACAAAATATAAAATCAGAACACTGCACAGTGAAAAACGACCATCGGGAATACAGGACACAAACCCCTCTTAATTAAACTAAACAGTAAACACACACCCCTCGCAGTTTTTTTTTTTTTGTGAAAAAAAAGGAAATGAATAGACACGGGCATGTAGGTTTGGATCTCCTAAGCCAAAGGCGGAAAGGCCTCCTCCATTGAGGGTGTGTTTGATATTAAATAAAAATACTAAAACAAACTCTTTTATATATTTAGTTTGTGTACTGTAAAATGACTTTTAATTAAAATTATGGTTTAATTTCTATTCAAACACTTCCTGAACCACATCTACAAACAGGGTATTACTTATTAGATTGTGACCTAAGTACCTAACCATCTTAAGAGAGAAACAACAATTAAAAACATTTATTTATATTTTAAAATAAATTTTCCAAGGCCAATTCAGTTGAAAGAAATCAAATGTGATTGTGTGGCTTCTTTTTTTTTTTTTTTTGCTTTTTTCCCTCCCTCAGGAGTGCGGATTGAGTGTCTGGATATGACGTCACGTCGCTAAGCGGCGCACATGCGCGTTAACAGGGGGAGGCAACTCAAATGACCATTTTACTGTTTTATCAGATCATGTAACACCCTGACCCTATGTTTTATCGATCTCAATCTGTTTTGCTCCGAACTCTAGCCTTAATCCACCAAATATGTCAAGTCCAAATTATTGGGGATAAATAACAAAGTCAGAGTACTGTGCCAGCGAAGTTTGCCCAAGTGACTCGTGAATTACACTGACATCTAGCCTGTTGGGCCATTTTTAAAACGAGGACCCCACTAGCATAGCCAGCTGATTTAAATTCTCACATTTAACGGTTGCCTCAAACCTTCCCATACGCGAAGATATATAATGGTGCCTAGGGACAAAAATAATACTACTGTGTACTGACAATATCTCTCTAACTGTCTGTGATCCTCCAAGTCAAGCCTACCTCATGTCACTCATATAGGTTGTAAATTCACATCGCTCTAGAGTCAATCCCAGGGATCTGCTTAATTTTCAAGGCTAAAATTTGCTATAAAACTACGCGGCCTATAAATAACCCGAACTGGAGTACTGAAGGAAGCAAAACGGGAAGAGCGAAGAAAGCAGATAAATGGGAGGAGAAGAACAATGGAAACTATAGAAACTGAAAAGAGGGAGAGGGAGAAAGAGGAAAAACAAAACCTCTTGGATAAAGGCTTCGGTTTCGGGTTTAGAGAGATCGGAGCGAAGAGCTTGAACGATGTGGTGCTGGTTCTGATCAGCCAGAGTGATGAGGGCCTCCAACTGGGAAGCTCTCCACCGATAGCTCCGAGTCTTGCCGGAATCAAAGGCAGCTCTCAGTTGGCCCACCATCGCCGACGCCTCTTCCGAATCGAACACATAGTTCTTGCTCATCTTAGCCGCCCCAACGCACTCCGCCACGCTCAACTCTTGCGCCTGACCATCTAAATTAATAAACTGGCGGAACGGAGCACTGCATTGTGTTTTTTTATTGTTATTATAATTCCGATGGACATGCCTTGTCTTTTGTTTTGGCATTTGCTACTTATTATTCCTCTACTCCGCAAGCATCTGCGCGTATCGTATCCTCCGACTCCGATTCCCACATCAGCTTCCAAAGTCTCAGTCCAATAAAAGACCGTCATTGCCATCCAAGTTTCATCCAAACACCCCCTCAATTATTGTTGGCAGCTACGGCGATGATTGTGACATTCTCTCCTTTTCTCTTCTAAGAAAATGTGCCTTCTCGTACGAATAATTTGAGCTGATGTAGACTGGGTATCAGTTTCTTATAGTTTTTGGATAATTGATTGTGACTTAATTAACAATTTATATTAATTATGTATATTTACCAAAACCAGCCACTTTTTGCAAGTGTACGTCAAGCTTGAAATTAAATCATGAATTATTGATTTTTGTGGATGCTGACTTCAAAAACTGCTTGGGTTTTCACGTTTAGCAGATTAAAAGTCATTTGCACAAGAGCTGTCATGCAGGTCATGCAACCATCAAAGACTGCATAAGCATTTTGCAGAATCAAAATGCATTTTCAGAGAATTCGAATGCTGCATGGTTCGATGGAATGAATAAGACAATGCTGCTGCCGTTTTTCTGGACACTAAACTGGAGTGAGGCCTGACCAGAGGATTAAGTCATTTCTCCGCCATCAGAGGCCAGGTGAAGAGCGGTTCCATGCTTTTCCCCTCGCCTGAGTGCCTGCATGCTTATGCATATACCAAGAGTTACATACTTATGCCTCAATATTTCAGGACGGATTTTTTATGACTTGAATTAGAAGTATTCAATAATAATCACATTGATCACATATCTTAAATCAATATGTAGTAAAATAATCAGAAATTTGATCATCCTTCACATCTCAATTAAATACAAAACGAGGTCGGGCCAATGTAAAATTTCATATTTGACCAAAAAAATTTTTAAAAAATTTCATAAGTATGACCGTCACCGATTAAAACATTTAATCTGTCACTTCACCCAAAAAAAACATTTAATCTATCAATTTCTTTTGAAAAAACAACT